CTCTCGAGAAAATCCTGCCTTAGCGAGACTTCCCGAGATAGCCTCCACGTGTGAAGTTGGAAGATCTCTGGTCGAGAGTGTGTCGTCCTGGGCCGAGGCTGGCGAAGGAGATCCGGTCTGGTGCGGACAGCCATAAACGATAAAAGCTTCGGAAACCAAGGTTGCCTCGGCTACGGAGGGGTCTATCAGAAGTCAGGAGCAGTGATGCTCCCAGAACTTCTATAGCACCCTGCCCACCAGGTTGAAGGGAGGGAATGCAAATGCATACATCCCGTCCCAGTCTAGAGATAGGGCGTCCACAGCCCCAGCCTTCGGATCTGAGACCGGAGAGACGACGGTTGGCAGCGGATTGTTCAGGAAAGTGTCAAACGTGGCAAAGAGGTCTGTCTCACACCTTACAAATTCCCTTCAAATCAAGGGAGACAGCTACAAAAAACGGCCACACAAAACATCCGACAACGCAGAGAACAAAATATTACGTTACCGTTACGTTAACGTTACCGAAAAGGTGGAACACGTGGTCACGTACTCGAACATGAAGAGGGAAAAACGGCCGAAATATTGGCACAAATAAGCAGAAAAATGTCACAAAAGACAATATAATTGGAAGATGGGTTTCGTTAAGATAACACAAATTGATATGAAATACTCAGGCAACAATGCAAAAGTAGTTCTCGGCGACTCTGTCGTGATGGCTTATGGGATCGTAGGGAGAGCGGCATTTTTTAATTTTTTGTGTTTGGGATACAAGGATGGATGTAGGTATCAAATTTGCATACTAAAGTTATGGTAATTATTACTGAAATGAAAGTGACTTATCAATTGAAAATCTACTACACTATATTAATGGCCCTGATCTTGATAACATGAATATTTGTCCGTACAATATATGCAAAATGCACAAAAAACAGTTTATCATTTAAAAGGCATATTATTTTCCGGACCCCAGCAAAACATTAATATTTTGTTCTCTTCATGTTCTTTTGCGTTCAGGGTTTTAAATATCACATAGCGGGTTTTAGTAGGAGTCTTCAGACGGTAAAATTATTCTAGCAGTGTCAAATTTTCGTTTCATGTTAGAAATGGTTTAAATAATTTGAAATAATTTTGACCATTTAGAGCCATGATCATTTATATCGGATAGAACGTCATAGGTATCTGAGACAAGATAATGAAATATTGGGTAATCATTTCAGCAGTAAAGATAACCGTTCAATGATTTTTCTATTTCTTAACCATTTTCCAGCTTAGAATACAATCGCTATGATTGATACCTCGAATAAAAGTTAAGAGAAACCCATGATGCGTTTCATGAATTCCTTGTTTTGTAAAACCGATGTTATTTTTAACATCAATGATTAAGAAACTGTTTAAAGAAAAGCGAGTGTGATCCATACAGGTCAACTGTTTATTAGTAAATGATGAATTAGTCTGTGTACATTGTTATCAATCGCGCCAAATGCCAGTTCAATATTTGTATCTTTTTACCATATGCGTGTCGATGTCTATTGCCGATATCACTTTGTTATAAACTAAATTAATTCGTTATCGACAATTTAATCTGTCAACTGGGACCGCCACCTGACTTAAAACTGTCGCCGTTTCAATACAGACAATGATGACGTCAAGAGCTGGATATTTAAGTCGAAATTATTATCATCAACTATGTTTTATTCGCATTCATACAAATAATTGCAATTGATACTATATTTTATTTTGGACAACTTCAATGACCAGTGTTACCTCTTCTTTGTCAAAGAGAAAACTTGCCTTTAAATATATGAGTAATATCATCATGTGTTTTATATGAGGCATTCATTTATCTTTTGGTATGAAATCCATGTAGCATGCTAATCGGTTAAAAAATCAAGGTTGCTTTTCAACTTTTTGAAAATCATGACCAACAATAATATTATATACTTCAAACAACATCTCATTTTATATTACTGTTTTATGAATAATACAAGATAAGTTCCTCCATAAGTTGGGTGAGGTTACAAGTCACCGACACTTATCATCTACTCTCGATAATCACTGAATATCTGTGTTTCCGGACTGTGTCTATATCATTTTACCTCTCTCTAACCCCTTCCTGCATGCATGCTATCGACAAGAATAGGAGGCTGGTAAGTTTTCTAGACCATCCACATACAGTTTCACAAATGAGTCCGGATATCAAAGTGTTGGTGACCAGCTGAAAGCTATGATAAAAGTACTGAAAATAAATAATATATAGTCATAATAAATGTTCATTTTTGCAACCAATCAAATAAGATAGCTCTAAGGACATGTCTTGTAAGATGTTATGCAGGAATATTTCATTATGAACGTTTATTTATCCATTTACTTAAGCATCTAGGCAAAATTCTGGGAGATTTAAAGAGGGATGCACAAGGTTGGTGACTGAATCAAAGTTCCATATCAGTTGTTTTTACTTCAGTTATGATTGATAAAAAACGATTATTTGAAAGAGCTAACTACTCTCCGTGCTTGAGATATCAATCTATGCATCAGATGGTGACGGAAACAATATATTACAGGAATTGCCTGTGACATATGCCAATTTTCTGTTTACCAAGGTTACTTATGACATGCAGGTGTTATGGTTATGATATGGCTAGGCGGATGATCATGCTATAAGACAGTACGGGTTGTCTCCCTTGATAGTGAGTTTTCCGGATTTTATTTTTTCCGGATTATTTATGTGACCGGTTTTGTAACTTTTTTTTAGCGAGAGTATAAAATGGATGAACAGAGCTGGAACATGTTGTCCTCGATCAGCCAAGTCTGAGTATAATTCCCCAAACCAACACCGTTGCCACGCTACACAGGTTGATAGGAATAAAATAATACTATGCATTCTGAAAATAGAAAATGACGTTATCCCCAGTATTCCATTGTTGAAAAATAAAGGAAAACAGAAAAAAAAATATGAAAACTGACAATCCATTTAAAAATAAGACAGAAATGCTACTAGCCTTATACAAAACTGCAACTTCAATAGCAAAGTGTGATTAAAGTACTTTTTTGTAAATATGGTCAAAAAGAATGAAAAAAAAATCTTCATTCAATTCGTTTCTGAAAATGCGCTAACAGACAGCTAGCATAAGGTGTGAATTTCTTCGAGATTGGTGAAGCGAATTTTGAGCTGCACTCAAGGAAATTTTGAAATAAAACGTATGTTTTTTGTGCAGACTTATTTCGGGTATTACAAATAAGGGGAGACACTAAAAACGTTGACTTTTTGACTTCTTGACGGCGATTTAGGTGTGAAAGGTATTCTTAAGTGCATATTAAGCGGAAACGTAGACGGAAGTAAATTTCAAAAACACATTTTTATGGAGAATATTGAAATGTAGAAGAAGAATTAAAACATGTTATGTGATTCATCTTGCACTTAAGACTTCCCATAGCTCAATAGGGTACAAATCCAAGCAAATACTATTTTGACACCCAGAGTCATCATGTGTTAGACATATCAATCTGTAGATGACAATCGCTACATGTAAAGGATATTGTGTCATATATCTTGTGATTTATGTCACAAAAGAGAAACAGAGAAAATATTAAACACAAAGCAGTTTGAAACTCGTCATACTTTTGCTTCGGTTGAGTGACTACTTGATTTTAGACATGGATACCTGAAGGTGTTATAGCATGTAGATTTTACAGATATGGTGAAAATAACAAACTATGGTTTGATAAAAGCTCTCGATAGGTAAAAAGGAGTTTATTGAAGATGTTGTAACAGGTCGTTCTTTTTTCAATGCCACGTGAGCCTTTCAACAAAACCTCTTGTTTTATTTCAATTTTGTTTGTTTTTATCTTTTTATTTTTTTGTTTTTGTCTTATTCTTGTACGTTATTACTTTCGCCTTGATAATACTTGGAGTTGCTGTGTATTATTTCTAGTGTACAGTAATATTTCGCTGATTGATAACTTAATTTTATAGTCTTCATAATCATTTCTTTCGGAATATAATATTTCATCGTGAGTTTATTTTCCTTATTATTTTTCCATAATGAAATGGACTTTTTCTGTCTGTACTTAACGTGGTAGCTTTCTAGTTCTAATTGTTTTAATTTGGGACTAAGATTTACATTACTAGTGTTGTCGATGAAGCAGAAGGCGCTCGCTATTCCTGATCATATGGCCGTTTCCATCTTATATTTTTCAGGAGTCTCCACGTAAATTTGCGCCAAACTTGATCGTTAAAATATATTAATTTCAGACATAGGGACCAATAGTTTTACTATATAAATGTTACCATTAATGACATCGCTGTCCACGTTCACATACAGAAAATACATAATGTATACATCTCAATTTAAAATATATTATGACATCATAATTGCTACTTGATGCCTATTTCAGCTGGTGACGGGACGGATTTCGTAGGTGCATTTTCTTTTATATTTATTGTTAGTTTAGTTTAAAATACTAATTTGTCAAAAATCGATTAAACAGCTCTGGATACCAATTCTATTATCGCCCTCTTTTTCATATATGTCAAATCATCTCCAATCTGATGACATCAAGATGATCTAAATATATATATGTCTTCATTTCTAAGAGATAAAGCTTATGCCATTTTCGTTTCAGTGGAATTTTACTGAGCTTGAATTGAGATTTCACTATTTGATATGATCACACAAAATTTCCATGTTGCTATCCGCTGTATTGAACGGGTATACAATGGAATAAATGTTGTACTAATCTGTTTGTGAGGTTAAGTATACCCGAAATTCAGAATATAAAGCTGTGTGCTTTTAACCTTTAAACCTTACCTTGCCTTTAAAATATGTGAAGAAACATTTATTGTTTTAAATAAAAATAGATATATTTTCGTGTAAATATATGTTATTTATATGTTCCCGGTAAAAAAAATAAATAAATAACCGCCAAGCCTCGAACTCTTCCGTCAGGTTCGTCCGCGTTACGAAATTCACATGGACAGAGGGGAGGCAACTCTGATTCTTTAGCATATAAATAAAAACAACATGCCCACCAATCGAAAGTCGATTAGACTAAGGCGGTTTTCCTCGTCGAGTGGCGAGGAGTCGGGACCTTCTCGGCGCAAAATCCTGCACATACAGTCACCAAAAAAGAAGAAACGTTTGAAAACGCTTCTGGATTCGGATTCAGACGATGAAAATAATGGAAATACTGGCATGAGTCAGATGGTTGGTTCACGGATAGGGTCTGTTTACATCTCGTTTACATCCCCAGAAAGCGATGTTTAAGCAAAATATAAGTATCATTTTCAGCAAATATTGTGTTATGAATTGATGTCGTTTAATATGCATAATGCATGGAAATGTAACAGTAAACATTATGTGTTTTGCAAGGAAATCGATAAAACTGATTGTGCCGCGATGTGCGAGGTCAATTGTGAAGGGAAGTAACTCTTCGTAACTAAGACTGATATAGCATTACAACAGAGGAATATATTTAGACAACTTTGAAAAACAATTAATTAGAAGGTATTGTGTTAAAAGAGTGGAACATTTATTAACACAATTTATCGTGAAAAATCGAGAGGATAAAAAAATTAATTAATTACAATACATTTATAATTTGTGATAATGAACATTAACATGATTTAACACCCATAATAATTTCATTTCATTAAAGTCAAAACACTTATCATAATATAATATCTCAAATTATCATTACATTTTGTTGAATTCATTTCGAGATAAAATCTATTGTCGCAACTTTTTGATTAAAAATTTGTTTAATTCACATAAATACATCTTGTATCATAACAACGGTGACAGCAAGACATCAGAATGCAGAAACGCATTATCCAATGAATTAAACAAGATATAGAGTAGATTTGAATTAAGTTAATATAGCATATTTTGATGAGACTGACAACAGGTAGAGCAAACATTTCTGTCTCAAAACTGAGAAATTTTCAGTGACCAGTGACATGTGACTTGTATTGTATTTATGGTTTTTTTAATGACTAGTTGACCCATGGCTAGACATGCCAAACATTCATCTTATTGTCCTGATCATTCAGTGTTATTTGATATTGGTGCAAGACCCAGCATCAATCTTGCCTTTGGTCATGAATCTGATTCAGGGCATGTGGTTGACATTTGGAAATTTTAGAAGTCAAATCACGAATTTGAAGGTCCAGGAAAAAACATATTCGATGTAGACATCACTCATCAGACCCAAGAGACAAAATACATTTTCAGGAGTAAAAAAATAAGCTCTCAAAGGTCTACTCATTGTTTTTTTTTTTTTTTCAGGGGTCAAGAAGTTCAGAAAGAATAAGCAAAAGAAATTCACGATCATTCCAAATGCCGTCACGTGAGAGTGTGTGGAGTCACATACCTACAACTCCTCAATCCTCCAATAAGGCAATAGGTCGTTTGAAACCTAGAAAAGTTTTCGACAGATTGAATAGAGTGTAAGTCTCTACATGGAAAATGTTTGAAAAAATTGCCTATAACTGATTAACCTATTTGTTTCTGTTTTAATATTTCAGAAACTTTGGGAAAGACGCTTCATCAGGATATTTCTGTATAATATTATAGGTTGGCCTAAGGCTCTCTTACAGCTGGAGTTTTGGCCAAATATGGAGTCCATTCCAAACACAAAAAGCCTTTATATTATAGAAAATTCAAGTTCTAAAACTCTCAAAAAATGGTAGTTTGATAATTTTTTCAAAACATCAGGATGATGTTGTCAATGTACAGTGTGATGAAAGTCAGTCCTAGCTTCAGATGATTGTGTATTTGTTACAGCAAAATATAAGATTGATACAAAAAGGAGAAGACCTTTAGATTATGATTAATTATGATTATCTTTGTGTTTTATGATTTTCCTCCAATGTTGAAATTTTGCTGCACACTTTGCCAAATTCAAAGCCATTGCAAAAGTAGCAGAAAAAGCCCAAGGACCTCCCACATGACGCTTAATTAAATAGCCACCAGCTAATACAAATTGGCCTCAACTTAAAAGTAAAATTCTTTCTGATCTGAGATGATAAATCTATAGGAAACAAGCAGTCTCTATGACAAGCAAATTTATTGGTTATGCTATAACAGTTTAATGTAACATTACTGGGTTAGACAGGGTCATGGTAATAAAAAAGGAATTGAATTCAGACCATTTAATTTCCAGAATCAAATAAGAATTATCGTTTAAATGTTTCGTATATGAAGTAAGTCATAAATTTAAGACATTGCTAATTTTTCATCGCAGAACCCATCGTTACAATCAAGATGTTTATGATTCAGAAGATGAGGAGTCTGGTCTGGATGATTTCTTAGTTTCTGATGAAGAAGAAATTACATCTAGTGAGGTGGAGGGTGTGGAGAGTGTTGGATCAATTGACAGAAAAAGAAACCAGCAAAAAGTATGTATACTGACAGTTGTGTTATGTAGCAGAGGTCATTATATATTTCAATGCCTCCGCTAGGAATCAAACCCAGGACCCCTGGCTTACTAGTCTGATGGTCAACCAATCAAGCTAAAGAGAAGTTCTCTCTAGCCGAGTGGTATATTGCGGCTAGTATTTTACCAGGGTTGAATTCTCCCCCTCCAGCAAATAACTGGTCCTCAAGTTTCCAGGGATTACAGCAGTGCTAGTGGGGCATGGCTAAGTACTATTCCTGGGTTCATACATAGGCGCCAATGTAACAGAGGTCATTATTTATTTCAATGCCTCTGCAAAGAATCAAACCCGAGACCCCTGGCTTACTAGTCTGACGTTCAACGAATCAAGCTAAAGAGAAGTTCTCTCTAACCGAATGGTACAGCTAGTATTTTACCAGGGTTGCAGTTATAATGGATATTATCATGTATTGTTTACCATACATCTTTTTTGTTATAACAAAACATTTTGTAAAATGAATAAAGAAAGTCTTTCATGCTATGGATTGTTGGAAGGGACTCTTTTGTACTTTTTATGCCTTGAAAGAAATCTTTCATGCTGTAAAAGGTTTGAAAGAAACCATTGATTTTTCCAAGAAATTATTCTTATTGTAAATTTTTTAAAAGAAATCTGTCATTTTCTTAAGCTGTAAAATGTTTGGAGGAAGTTTCTTTCAAGCTGTAAATCGTTTGAATAATTTTTTTTCCGCATTACTTATTGTTTTAGGGAATTTTTTCCTTCTATGAATTTTTTATTGAACTTTTCACTGCAAGAGAGAGGATGCTATACTCCTTGGTGCAGAAAGTTTTGATATATTGTAGTATATTGTAAATAGTAAAATAAAATATTCAATCCAAATGTATTTAAAACACTGTTAGGGGTTCCATGCATACAATATGTAAGTAGGTGGAGATGTCCAGCAGAGACAGAAAGGTTTCATAAATATGATGAAATGCTAGTAAATCTGTAATATCATATTCTTTCCATATGGAGGAAAGGGTTTTTAACAAAATATGGTTAATAGCTAGTGGGATGGATTAGAATCACTGTTGTCTTCAACCCATATCACCTGAGTGAGGACAGAAAGAACATTCAAACAAGACAGATATGTATAAGAGTGTTGTGAAAACAGAAGAGTAGAGTTTGCTACCTCAGGGGCTTGAGGGAAATTGGTCTGACTCAATGGCTGGAAGAGGAGCATAAATAGAAAAGTAATGTTGGTGTGATGCTTGGGGCCTGAAGGATGGAGGCGTGCTATTAGGATAAAGTGGATGTGACTTACATGGTGCCCTATGAGTACCTCAAGTTTTCTTTTACCCCAAACACCAGATGGAAAAATGTGTGGTGCTGGGCTGGTCCTGTCAGTTGAAATGTTTATTGACTTAATTTCAGTCAAGAAAATTTTGGCTAGTAGCTACTCTATTATTGTAAAGAATCTTTTTGTCTAATTCTTAAGTCACTTGAAATGAATCTCACCACTGCAGTAATACATGTGCTGTGTATGTAAAAATGAGCACATTTGTGTAGTGTGTATGATATTGTTTGCTGGTAAAATAAAAAAAATTATGAGTTCTGAGCTTTATAAGAGGAACCGCTTTGATTCTGTCATACCTGATTATATATTATTCAATTCAAAGGCTCTTGTCTTTTACAAACTTTCCATAACTTGTCATTTTGCTGTATTTTTGAAAATTGAATCAACCACATCTGATTTTTTTATTTTAGGTTTAGAATTATTGAGTTTGTTGAGATACATTGTTGTGTCACATGATTTGTGCATGGCAACACTCTTTATTCTTATTGGTCTTGATGGTGTGTGATGAGCCTCCAGCATATTGTCCATTGAGGTAGACACCAGTTAGTTTAAAGAGCTTGTGCCCTAAAGTAACCCTAAGAATTCACGGGCAATTGACCCAGTTAAAAAACAAAACTATGTAATGAGGGATCTCATTCATTTACAACTATGTGCTATAAAACTTGGTGATTTCTTTTGGATTTGGCCTCTGAATCCTAATAGGTTCTATGCATATGGTCAATATCAATTACATTTATGTAACACCACTTGATATTTCCTTTAAGACCAAGATACAACACACAAGTACAACATAGTTTTCAAGCAAGTATATTATGATAAAATTGAATTGGAAAGTCTTTTAAGTTCTAATCATATTTATTCAAGACTGGCAAATATTCATATTTTATAATCATTGACAATGTCAGGGAAATATATTTGTTTTTCAAAAATAATCTTGATTTTTTTTTTCTTTTCAGAAACAAAGAGCACATAAATATACTACAAGACACCACCGGATCAAAGGCTATCACAGCAAATTACTTGGTCCAGCTAGCTCAAGCAGTGAATCGGAAAATGAACAGAATGGAGCCAGTGTTGAATACAGTGAAGGTGTTGCTGGATTGTTAAAGGGTGATGAAGGATGCAACAGACCTGATGTTCAGGATCCATGTGTTAAATACAATAATATGTTAAATTATCAGCACAATCATCCTGAAGAGACTATGTGTGAAGCAAGTACAATACAGGATGATCCAGAGGATAAAGAAGGCGAGTTGAAGGCTAGGTCACATCAAGGTAAAAGGCGATATTCCCGGATAGCAAGCAGTAGTGACTCAAATCAAAGTACTACTGAGCCTGCGATAACTAAAGGGACACAATTCTGTACAGGCAGTGAAGTGAAAAATCAAAATGATTCAGAAAAGCCTGAAACTGTTGGTACCACTGCCACTACTGCAGGTGGAACAGACAGCTGCAATGTTGAAAATAGTCCTGACAAAGGTTCTAGATCTAACAGTGGTACTAATAGTGACTCGGATCATCAATCTGACTCAAGCTGTGAGTCTGTCAGTACATCTGCCACCAATGGGGACAGTTATTCTGATAGCAAGAGTGATTCTGGCCATCAACTAGACAATATTAAATCCTCACGTGCTAGACATCAAATTGAAAAACAAGAAAGTGTCAAAAAGAAAAGGTTTGAAGCATTTTTAGAAGCTAGACGAAAACTAACCTCTGCTAAAAGAAATTGAAACATTAAACCTTGAGTAAACCTGATGTCTAAAGGCGAGTTGGATCACCAAATATAGTTACATGAGTTGAATAGTAACAAGATTGAACTCACTTGGGAAGCTTGTAATGCCTTTTTAGATGACTATAACTCAACTTCCAGTTTCGCTTTTATTGGATTGGAGCTACCAGCCACTGCCTGCTCATGTGTTACCATTTAGAAGCATGGCAGTGATTGGATGGTCTTATCTGCATTAATTTGATTACAAAAAATGGCCGATGACTGAACTGAACTCAACTGAAATTGATCTTTAAGCTTTATTCCAATATTACTTTATATATGTAAAGTGAACATACATGTACCTATACATCAACTGAAAGACATTACATGACACCATAGCTTACAGGTAGCATACATTTGTAGTATATTGTAAATCCAGGTGATTTCAATTATTGTTTGTGTTGTTATTTTGTTATAATTTTTTAATTTTTTTGTCATGTTTAAGGTGGGGGCAACATTTGGCCCCCACATAGATTTCTATCATTTTTTTCTCCATATGAAGATACATGAAAATAACCTACAACTGCATAAATGATTAGTCATTATAACTACTTAAAGTCATACTGGACCTCCTTGTATAACACCATGATGAGTCATTATAATTACTTATAGTCATACTGGACCTCGTTGTATAATACCAGGTTGAGTGACAAAGGTACCCTAACATAATGACAAATACTTGCTACATGAGAAATTTAAATGAAAATATTTATATACCAGCTTAAAGTACATAAAATGTCTGCTATTTTGATACCACATGTTATATTGACTTAAAAAATGTAAGCATATTGATAACTTTGCTTTTAAAAAAATGCAAAATTTTCACAAAATAAAGAATATATCAAAGTTTGTCTAATTTTGCTGCAATCTCAGTCTATATTTCATACTTCTTTAAAAACTTTTTATGTATATATGCTGTCTATTGAATAAATTTTAAGTGCTATATTTCCCAGTTTTGTGTAGTATCAAAGCACATCAGGTATTTTGTATTGTTTTAGAATTAAATTCAGTAGGTATAACTTAACATGGTGTTTTCTGCACTAGAAATCTATCCTCTAAAGAACAACTGACAGTTTAGTTTGTATCATAAAAACTTAACAATGATTAGATATTACTGATAATATGTTATCGTCATTCCACTTTTCTTCGTTTATCATTAAACATAACAATAATGGATATAAATTAGTTAGATATTCTAATTAATGATTAACAAATGGGGCCAGAAATGATAATCCTGTCTGACACGTGAATGTGCAAGTATGTTAATTTCCTGAAACATGTAAAGGTATTTCTATTAAGTATTCATACAATTTTTGCTAAGTATCTATAGACAATTACGTAGATAAAGTTACACTTAAGTCAGACATTCTGTATTAAATTCAAATTACTACAAATCTCCAATCATGTTTACTAATAATCATGTCAGACGTGTGCATAGGTCGTGGTTGCAAAACCAGGTTGAAAGATTTATTTCAAGGAGCCCGAGCTCAAGTAAGACATGTATATTTACCCCAGTATAATTGGCTGCACCAGCTGCTGACTGCTAAGATCATTAGCATAACAGTAGAAAGCATATTATGTGGAAAGTGGTACACACAGCATGATACACTTACTGCCAACGAGGACCGCCTGTGTACTAAGTCAAGATGGGTCGTGGAGAGCTACCATGGTCGACTGAAACAGTGGAAACTGTTTAGAGAACAACTCAGCTCTACCTACTTTCTTTGTGTGATAGAGGAACTGGTTATAGTAACTGCTGCTTCTTTGAATGCTGTACGTGGACCAATTTATATGTCTACACCAGAGAGGGACTTGAGGGACCATCGCCTTGCTGAGCGAATGCAATCCCGTTTGGTTCTGTCCAACACCTTGGCCTCAAGGGTCGCAGATGAACCTGACATTTCTAGGCGCAACAAGGCCAACTGGGTGAAACTTGATGCCTGTTCAATAGTGTTTCCAGTACTGGATATGGAATATTTAGAAACGGTAACCGACGGATCATACCAGTTGAAAGTAGCACCCAGATATATTGCTGAGCATCTGACTCCTGCTGGAGACTTTGAAGTTTGGGTCTATCAGTATGATGAAAATCTTCTCCCGAGGCCAAATCCACTCAAGGCACAAATCACAGATAAAATACAATGTTTGGATTGCGTTTGACAGAAATGATCAAGATGACCCCGTCAATGATTACTACTGTGTCAGTCCAGCGGGCAAGCGAACCATTGAAATGTGTGCACTTGTTGTGTGCATTTTGTATTTCTGGACCCGTGTTCAGCATCAAGATCAAACTAACCCAGTCCCCATGCAACACACAAGTTCAAACAAGCAATCATTTGGGTAGTTCTGCGTTACTAAAACGCAATGAAATGTGATGCAAACTGCAACTGTTCTTTCTCTCATTAGCTTCTCAAAGTGCCACAAATTATGGATCGGAACTGACAAAGGCAAAACCTGTCACTATTACTGTACATAATCTATCTAATAAGGTCACTTTATTGACCTTCATTAAAAGATTTGTATAAAGCTGCTAACTAAGTCTTCAAATTGTGAAACTTCTTTATTTTAACAAATTTTATTTGTGTGACATCGAACAGAAGTCAGCAATAATAACCAAACTGATACAAATTGAAAGGAACAACCACCTAGTCAAATAGCAAATAGTTTTGGTTATTAAGCTGTCACTATTTCACGAAAATGACAACATGGTTTTTTAAGCAAATGTGTAAAATGACAAATTTACCGGTTTCACTTTTTCAAAGAATCCTCCTTTTTAAATATATCATATTTGGCCAAGTATGAAAAATAGACTGATTTCGGAAGTATGAAAATTCAAATTTGAAGTGTCCAAACCAGTACTTTTTTCAAAAGTAATGGCTTTTTATATGAATTTTGGTTGCATTTTTCAACATATAAGAAAGGTTTCTCCTGCAATAGTGTGATACATTGTATGTGGTATCAAAATGTTGGTACAATGTGCACACATTAATGACACAATTTTATTGGAATTTCCTCATAATAATGCACTAGAGGGAATTACATAACAACTACTTCAACTCTCACCAAGTTGTTAGTCAATAGCTCCCATTTCAATTCCAAGACTAACTTTTCCTTATTTAAGCTTCTGATACCCATTTTATGGTTATCATATTTTGAAATTCCAAGTGGGGGCGAATGCTAATGTTAAATTCCCATATATGTTGACCCCACCTTTATATACATTGATAATGTAAAATTAAGATTTTACGTGATGAAAAATGAAAATATATATATTTTTGTTCATTTATTTGTAAGCAAACTTAATACGACTTTCATCAGATTCAGCCATGCTTGATGAAAGTATATTGATCCATTCTTGATAAATCATATCGGTCACTGACATTTTCTCACCAAGTAATGTACTAATACTTGCCAGAGTTATTGCAAACGCAGGTTTCGTCGCTATCTTTCTACACGCATATCTTTATTATCATTATTTATGAAATAATTGGCATATTATATGGGAATAAAAAATATATTCCTAGGCATTGGCAAAAATTAGGGAGAACAGGATGCCAACCAAGAAGTAATTATGAATTGGTAAAAAACTAGATATTTCTGAGCCTGATATCATAAAAACAGAAGAAGTCACATACTTTAATCAACATTTCACAACGAGTAATTCTGTTTTAAAATAGTTTTTAGTGAATGGATTTTTTATATAGCATACATAAATGCAGGTGATGTATACAGGGTGAAAAGCGGAATGAGAGCAATTTTGTTTCTACCAACCACCTAATGATTGTGAGCTACCAAATCGCCCTACTTTGATAGTCTCTCATCCATCCTTCTGTAAACAATTTTTGTTGTTGCTATAGCTGGCTGGTAATATTTACACGTCAAAATATTCATGATTTCCTTTCAAAATGATTGAATGTTATACTTTAAATGAATTCAGATTGCGCTATGTGGTTGTGAGAAGACATCTTAGACATGTGTGTCTCATTATTTCACTTACTTAATTTTTGTGATCACTTACATGAACAGAAAACGTTCATCCCTGCCAATATAATTACCTATATGGTTCCTTTTGGTCCCTGGTTGTACCCATTTGATTTGGGAGTGATCAGAGCAACAATATGGCCGATTGGCGAATAAACAAAATGACTGACAGGCGACCATCTTTGATTTCCACAATTTTTGTATCACTAGTTCTTGTGCTTGATGAATCTTTTCTCAAATTTTGTATTTAGCTCCCATTGGTCTGTAGTTGTGCCCTTTTGATATTTTCGCGTGAACAGCTAAAAAACTTGAAGTTACCGGGGGCATGTATGCTGTACCGATATGACACAGCATGAACGTCTCGGATGACTGCACTGAAGTAATTAACCTGACTATATCTGGCAAATGATTATATACTGTACATATACGTCTTATTTCAAGTCAATTTATTCATACATGCAGTATAACATGCTATATGTAGAACATAGATATACAAATGAACTGAAAGGATAAAGAAACGCATTTTAGTGTAAACTATTTTATATTGAATATACATAACTGTATAAAAAGCACAAGAATATTAGAGCACCTTATCCACCAATAAATGTTAGGGAATCAATAATTGATTTTTTATATGTGTTTGTCTGTTTTGAATATACCATGGCTATCCCAACTTGATAAAGGACATGCTCTCGCAATGTTCATGGGAGGTAGCACTCCATGGATAATTGCTACACACTACGGAGTTCACAAATCGGCTATAAGTCCACGGGAAAAGTTGATGACAGATCGCGATTCGGACGTCGGACATTCGGTACGTTGGTTTGGCTTGCAACTTAAGTGACAGATTAAGTTAAGGAATGAAGAGTATATTGCATTCATTAAAAAGTACTTCAGAAATTCATTTGACTTAGTTTTACATAAAATGTAATTCATTTAAATCGCTAAGTACTTATCAATCTATATGAAGATTGACACTTTATGAAACAAAAAGGTAATTTTAATCAAACTTTGCAAAAAAAATAGGTAATTATAATCATATATCTATATAAGCATATAGGAAGTAATAATCAAACTTTGTGAAATTTGGCAATTAACATTTTGTAAGCATGTAGGTATTAGTAATCAAATTTAATGCTTGTTTAGCAACTGAAATGAATGTAACGAAACACTGCGGTTGTAACATGGAAATAGTAAGAAAAACGTTACGGTTGATTTGGAAAAGAAAACGTTTAGGTATCTGTAAGTACAAAGCCTGGGATTTTCTTGTCTCTATTTATTGATTTTACTGGAATGTATTGAGCCATGTCAACACGTCCAATCATCTCAGAGATTTATTATCATAAGTAGCAGTGTAGGCTCATTGTCATTTAGGGTCAGTGACAACATCAGACGTGAAACTTGAAATAACACTATAACATTGTTTTATGAATTGTGATCCCGGTCTTATCAGAGACATGGTATTTTAGGCATAGCGGTAAATGTGACAATGGATATTACAACTATTGTCTTGTGGACTTGGATCCTTTTATGCAAAGGTATTGTTTAATTTGTTCAGAAATTTAAGTTTTTTTCTGAGTTACATGTCAATTATTCATCTTTACACTTTAAACTTTAACTTTTGGTGCAAACGGAACAAGGTTTTACTTTTCACGAATTTTTACTCAACATTCTTAAATTTAAAAAAAAAATTACAATTGATGATGATCGGATTTTTCATTTCGAAGCCTTCCGATACCAAAAATCCGAAAATTATCATTCGGTCCGAACGAAAAATACGGTGTTCGATGTTTTATCGTAACCGGCAGATATTTCGTTCAAGCAGATGATTGAGGTCGGTTTTA